CAAATAACATCTGGTTTAAGGCGAGGTAATATTTTGTCTCCCACTTCTGTTCAACTTGGTCCTGGAAAAAATTATAAGGAAATTGAAACAACAATGTACTTTAGGAGAAACTACAAGAATACTTGGTTATGCAGATGACATTAATATCGTTGGAGAAAATGAACTAGAGACTGTAAAAAACAATGACTCTCCTAAAAGATGCAGCTCAGAAAATGGGACTAGATTCAGTCAAGATAAGACAGAATATACGATAATAACTAGACAGGGAAAGGATATAAACTCCGGCTACATACAAGTTGATAACATGAAAATTAAACGAATGGAAATACACAAGTACTTGAGTGCAAACTTTAACTGCTCCGACATGCTGAGAGAAAAAATACAATCTAGAATAAAATCTAGCAATGAAGTATACTACGCCCTTCAACATCTGCTAAAGTCAAAGGCTCTATCTCGCAACACCAAAATCAAAATATATTAAACATTGATAAGACCAGTCGTTTCATATGTCTCCGAAACGTGGAGCACAACTAAAAGAGATAAAACCTTATAACACATTTTCGAAAACAGTCTTACGACGAATCTTTGGACCCATCACGAATGCAAACAGAGATGAATGGAGAGTGAGAAGCAACAACGAAATTCAAAATCTGTTGAAATCACCACTAATCACTGGCATCATGAGTGCTAATAGACTGAAATAGCTGGGGCACATTGAAAGAATGTCAGATGACAAAGAAGTAAAAACTGTATACACAAGTGAGCTGAATGGTCGTATAACACGAGGCAGACCAAGAGGACGATATAGAAATAAAATCCAGACAGACCTGGAAGCACTAGATGTCACCAACTGGAAAGAGAAGGGAAAAAAAAAGATGAATGGATAATCGTGATCTGTAGCAAAGAATCGCAAGGACTCGGATTGCTGAAGAAAAAGAAGAAAAAGCAGAAGACACAGGTATAACAGTCCATGTATATATTAATTAGAAAAAAAAATTAACAGGCATAACAAATACACATCGATAGTAACAGGAACAACAACACATTCATACATTGAGAGAAATATGTTTAGCAATACAATATACACACATATAGAAAGATGTATAACAATACATATTCACACTGATGGAAATACATATAACTACACAAACACCGACAGAAACAGGTATAACAATACATAAGCAGACCGAAAGAAGCAAATATAACAATACATACAGACAAAGATAGAAATATATAACAATACATATAAACACCGATAAAAACATGTATAACAGCATACGGATACAAACCTGCTCCACTTGTGCCGGGGAGCTGACGTTATTGCCGGACAGAAATGTATAAACCTTTTCCCGGATAGAATCAAGGTAGGCCCGAGTGCTCTGTGTCTGGTTGTTGGCCCTAGAGACTTCATCGAAGGCCATTTGGGCAGCTGTCTTAGCTTCTTCAGCATCGTTCCTGACATCCAGCAGCTGTGTAGAGAATTCAGGATGTGTCCACACATGACAATAGTGCCAGATATAAATATGAAGTGCAGGATGATAGGTAATGAAACGTGCAATGTTGCAGCTGTTTTATATAGTAAAGTGGTATAGTAAAGCGAATCAGTCTGGGAAACAAATATTTACCAGAGACAACGGGCTATCCGCTTAGATCACCGTTTTCCCAACTTCTTAGTGACCTCCTAACTTGTATACAAATCTTCAAACTTGTGAAGAAACCTCTAAATTTGTGTTCAAACCTCTCAACGTCCATACAAACCTTCCAACTTGTAAAGCTTCTAACGTGTATACACACATCTCCCAGGTTGTATTCAAACCTCCTAACTGATATACTGATCTCCCAGGTATTACACTGATCTGCCAGTTATAATGATAATCTCTCAGTTGATATACTGATCTCCTAGTGGATATACTGATCTCCCATTAGTTGATATAATGATCTCCCAAAGCTAAATACTTAAAATGTTGGCCGCAACTATTGACTGTTTATTCATCTGATATTAAAAAATAAAAAGAATTGTCGTGGAATTATTTTTTCATCATTATCAGTAAGCGGGTACTTTACAGAACGTTTCTCTCCTGTCACAGCACGTATGAAAGTCTCTCTTTCTCTAGCCAGTTTTCCAGCTCCCTCTGCTTTCAGAGCCAATCTCTTCAATGACCTACATGCACCCTTGCAGAAGTCAGCCCCTCACTGTTCTCTCCAGGTCACTATGACGTTTAAAGTGGGCAAAATACCTCAGCTTTGGGACAGGATACTGTTTCAACAGGCAATTCTCCTCGATGTTCAGATCACGTTGTTCTTTATAGGTATGTCTTCTACTTCTGCCTTCTAACGCCTAATGGGCATAGGCCCTAAACTAACGCACGCCAAGTCGTTCGATCCTTCGCTATTGCATGTAGCTCACCCCATGTCATCTCCATCGTTTTTACTTCATTCTCTAGCTTCTTTCTCCGTTTGGTTTTAGGTCTGCAGTTTTTGCTATAACTCTGTGGGTTCTAGTGCAAAGACATTCTAGTTGTATTGTTCTCAGGTTTTCGCAACGTGTTGTCCTATCCAACACCAGCATCTTTTCTCGTTCTCTTGGTCCAATGGAACTTGCTCAGTTCTCTCCTAAAGCTCTACATTAGTGATTCTATGTGGGGGAACATGAGATTGCAGGAAAGTTGTTGCGTTACATTTATTTAACGTAGGCTACTTTTTTTTAGACTCTCAGCTCTAAGCATAAGATGTGCTCATAAACACACATAAATACAGAAGTAGCCCAGTCATCTACGACACAAACATTATACAGCATAGAAGGGAGAAGGAGATACAAGCAACCTTACCCTTGGAATATAGTCTTCAGTAGCATTCTTAGTGCTGACCTTGAGAAGGTCCTCGGCCTTGAGAGCAATGTCTAACGCTGTTTGTGATACAGTGAGGGCACCAGAACAGCCATCTCCACCACACCTACCACAACCACCACCTCCACACAAAGCAGAGCATGGGTTCCCTGACTGACCACACACCTAATGAGAGCAAAGTGCCATTGTTTTACATGTGTGCATATATATATACATATATATATATATATATACACACATATACAGACAGACAGACAGCCTTCCAGACAGCATATACAGACATACATATAGATAGACAGACAGACAGACATATAGGGCACGCTGACTCCTTACTCACCTGTCAGCGCATTTTTGCATGTTAATAGTAATGCATGATATGTTTATATAGAAACATACATTAGGAAATAATGCATACACACATCATGTATACACAATCATACGCACTCAAACTTACACATGTTCACATACTCCTACATGTTCACATACTCCCACATGTTCACATACACCCACATGCTTATACATACACATACATGCTCATATACAGACATACATAATACATACATATACCAACATGCACACACACATACACCCACATGCATACATACATCCATATACACACATATACACAAACATACCTACCTACCTACCTACCTACCTACCTACCTACCTACCTACCTACCTACCTACCTACCTACCTACCTACCTACCTACATACCTACATACCTACATACATACATACATACATACATACATACATACATACATACATACATACATACATACAGACACAGACACAGACACACACACATACACACACACATACACACATACACACATACACACACACACAGACACACATACACACATACACACAGACACACAGACATACAGACATACACACATACACACACATATAAATGCTCACACACAATACAGACATACATTTACTCACATACAATCACACAGACAGACAGACAGACAAGCAGAATGATAGATAGATAGATAGATAGATAGATAGATAGATAGATAGATAGATAGATAGATAGATAGACAGATAGACAGATAGACAGATAGATAGATAGATAGATAGATAGATAGATAGATAGATAGATAGATAGATAGATAGATAGATAGATAGATAGATAGATAGATAGATAGATAGATAGATAGATAGATAGATAGATAGATAGATAGATAGATAGATAGATAGATAGATAGATAGATAGATAGATAGATAGATAGATAGATAGATAGATAGATAGATAGATAGATAGATAGATAGATAGATAGATAGATAGATAGATAGATAGATAGATAGATAGATAGATAGATAGATAGATAGATAGATAGATAGATAGATAGATAGATAGATAGATAGATAGATAGATAGATAGATAGATAGACAGATAGATAGATAGACAGATAGACAGATAGATAGATAGATAGATAGATAGATAGACAGATAGATAGATAGATAGATAGATAGATAGATAGATAGATAGATAGATAGATAGATAGATAGATAGATAGATAGATAGATAGATAGATAGATAGATAGATAGATAGATAGATAGATAGATAGATAGATAGATAGATAGATAGATAGATAGATAGATAGATAGATAGATAGATAGATAGATAGATAGATAGATAGATAGATAGATAGATAGATAGATAGATAGATAGATAGATAGATAGATAGATAGATAGACAGATAGACAGACAGACAGATAGATAGATAGATAGATAGATAGATAGATAGATAGATAGATAGATAGATAGATAGATAGATAGATAGATAGATAGATAGATAGATAGATAGATAGATAGATAGATAGATAGATAGATAGATAGATAGATAGATAGATATTTGGTAAAGATAAATATCTTAACTAATCAAGGCAAAACGCTCCTCCTGCTACAAAAACACAAGTTCACGAAAATCTCACCAGGGTATTGATGTCTATCATCTCATCTCTGAACTTCATGATGTCGTAATCCAGACGGTTCAGGTCCCAGATATTTGCCTCCGTCTGATCTTGAAATTTTCCAAGTCTATAAAGAAACATCTATGGTTTATGAGACATTTCAAAGTGGCATGAAAGAAACACAATCAACGGAGACAGCTGATCTTTCACCTTTTTGTTACATGTT